GTTAGCGTACGCTAACAAAGCTCTACATCCTCACTCTGACAATGTGACAAGCCAGCACGAGCGAGGGGAAGCATGGGGAGGGGGGGTAATTAGGATAATTAAATTAGCACGCTGATGGACGCAGGCTGGGGAACTGTCAGGACCCCTCTCCTCTACCAAAGAACCACAGACAAACACATACACACACTCTGTAGGCGTAGAAATACACACGCACCCACGTCCCGATCGTGCTCAGAACCGTGTGCGCATATAGGAAAGCACACACACACAAAAAAACGTGATCTACTCGGGTAAACCCTCAGCTGACCCTGACTGAATAAATTGCCTCACTTTATTTCTCCACTGGCCATCTCGTAAACACTTTGTTACATAAATCTAATGCAGATAACTAGTGCACCAATTATTTTTAATGGTTAATGTTCTTGTTATTTGCGTGTTGGCATCTCTATGGAAAGCAATGCAACTCGCTGGCCTGCATTATTTGATTTATGGCAATTCAGGTCATTATATTACTGCATGCTCAACCATAGACAATTATCATTTATTAGAGGCAAAAGGCCATGAGGAGCTCGAGCCCAGTTCTTAAACATGAGCAAACTTGTATGTATAGACTTTTGTCCCATTAGGAATTATGAATTTCCAGTGAGTAATAATTGATTGTGACAGAAAGTAACCCAAGGTGATCAAACTGCGGTGCAAATCAATGGGCATGATGATGCTTTATTAAAAAAAAAAAAAAAAAACAATTTTCCTGATAAACTGCACTTACATTAACACTCCGCTGAATCTCTCTCAAATCAATCGAGAAAACTAACAAAGCAAAACTGCTTCAAGAAAAAAATTACCAGGTGTGATGGTGCATCACAATATTCATTTCACATTGAAAAAGTCTGAAAAAAAAATACATTTTACTTTTATTTTCATCTTATATGATGATGATGATGATAATAAGAAGAAAGAAGAAGAATAGGAACACTTTTTGATAAATCATACATGTGGTTAAATTATGTTATTATGATAAGATACTTAATGATAAGATACTTAAACTAAAAGAAAAAGTAGATTAAAAATGTACTTAAAAAGTCAATTAAATTTACTTTTGAAAAAGTCATTAAAAAAGTCTGAAAAAATACATTTTACTTTTATTTTCATTTTATATGATGATGATGATAAGAAGAAAGAAGAAGAATAGGCACACTTTTTGAGAAATCATATATGTTGTTCAATTCTGTTATATTAATCTATATTATATTACAATACATTATATTATATTGTATTTTAACAAAGCCAGATAGGATACTTTTCTTTCTCTCATTATGACACACACACAAAAAATATACATTGTTCCAGAGTGACATGATTATGGAGTCAAACAGACTTACGTTCCATCCATACTGTTTCTAATTTTAAATGATCTTAAATATCAACAGCTATTGTCCAGTTCCCTTTACAGAATCATACAGTAAATATGCAGTGAGCCAATGATTCAAACTCTTTAATTATTGCCACATGAATAATAATGACAAAAACAGGCCAACAAAAATGGCATGAGTGGGACACACAAACACACACACACACCTCTGGGTAGTTGCTATGCTATCAATGCAACACAAAACATTAAAATAATCATTTTGGTACTCATCAATAAATTCCACTACAGTGGATAATTAGAATGCATGATTAATTGAGGATAATGAAATGAGAGATGCGAAGAGACAGCGTCAGTAATGATCAGGAATTTAGCCTTTTCTTGCTCTCATTTAGTGCTGCTGATGAGCTTGGCCATCACACAGACATGTAGCCACTCTTTTTACACACACAGTTCAATTACAGCAGTCTTGGCTGCAGCCAACAGTGTAATAATTACGAAGATAATAGCTGAGCGTTTAGAGTGTAAATCTCCCTCCTTGAAGAGCTGCGTGCATCTGCCGCCCAGCCACACACACATCTGCATGAGCAAATACACAAAACCGACAAAATCCGCATGCAAACAACGCAGACATGCATACAAACACAACAGAGCGAAAAACAAACATCACAACGACAAACGTTCACTGTATATCAATATGGAAGAGCGACTTCAGGGAAAGGTTAGACCGTGTCGTTTTTATTGGATTTCCATTTCTTTTCTCAATAATCTCTCATGTTTCCTCAGGTCTATACAATGGATGCTTGTAGCTGTCAAGATCAACTTTGTAAGCATTGTTTTTTCTAAGGGCCCCCTCCACCACCCCCAACCCATGATCGCATCTCAGCGTCTAGCTCTCTACATGAGGGGTTCACTTAACCAGGTCCAAAAATGTCTTCTTTCTTGTTCCTCGGTGAGGACAGAAGAACCATTTACATGCTAACAACTTAAGAAATACCTTAAAGGTTCACAACTAAGGACTAACACTCACACTGAAGTGTTCATAAGGGTGTGTTCACACTTGCCAGGTTTGGCTCAATTAAAACAGACACTGATGCGATTGCTCTGTTAGTGTGGTTCATTTAAATAAGTGCGAACGCTGCCATTTGAACCCAAACAAGTGGACCAAGATCCCTGAAAAGGTGGGTTTCGGTCAGCTTCCAAATGAAATCTGGTGCGAAATGTGAACGCAACACAGACCAAAGACATCTAAATGAACCAAAAAGAGGACGTGATGTCACAAGATGCAAAAATGCTCAAGCATACTTGTATTTTTTCTCGTCTTTAAGAGCCAAGTTAGCCATTACAGTTCAGTACAGGCTGCCGGTGTTCTGTCGATTTTTGCTGCCTTGTCAAAAAATGCTACCGTAGCGCGAATTGATCACAGAATGCCGAATAAAGTCGTATGAAATACAATTATAATACAATTCTAAGTTATGAGTAGCTACTGTATACTGTAGACTACTGTTTTTATTTTTAAAACGGTGTGAAAAGTAAAAAATATCATAAAATATTCATCTTTGACTTGTCAAAGTAGTACACCTTTCCTCATAGTAACTGAAACTTTCAGTTATTCTTTTTCAGCTGGCTGACCGTACAAATATTCATATGGTAGTAAACATTTTTTAAAGGGAAATTATACATTATAACAGGAAAATGTACCTTTTGTAAAAAAAAAAAAAAAAAAAAAAAAAAACTGTGAGTCTGCACATGCGCATAACCGGTAAGTAGGAAATCTCGATGGGTAGCATGAATTTTCAGAACACCGGCTGTAGTGACGGTACTTCAAATTAGAATGAATTACTTGGAAATTTCTTGTTTTAAACACAGGTTTCCTTTTCCAACTGTATATTTTGCAGTATAACTTTATGGTACAAGTAGTTTACATAATATGCACTCAAAATGACTTGAAAGCTATTTTTGCAACAAAGCCATTGCCAGGAGCATAAATATAAATGTCTTGTTAAAATTCCCAGTATGATAATATATGAAGTATAAATGGAACATCAAGTCTGTCAAAACAGACTATAAACAAAATTCTCCAACAAGGAAAACCCATTAGCACATCCAAAAAAAGCCTCATTTCTTAACGTCTTGCGCCCCCTAGTGGAGCACAGATCTCACAACTTCATCCTCGCTTTATCTGTCCTACAATATTTTATTCACACTGATCTCAACAGTTAAGTGAGCAAGTAAACAAAACAACTTCCAAAACGTTTAATAAAGCACTTAAATCATGCTTTTCTCAAAGTGTACGTGCAAACGTCAGCACCGAACCCCACAGATATCTCTACCACAGCCACCCAAGACGAGATGGGTCATTTAGCTTGTAATTAAGAGCCGATTAAGCCAGATTGAGCCAGCTATTCAACAGCAAAGTCACCTTGCACTTTCTGGCTCCATTGTGTTATGCTGTAACCTACATCATGTGAAAGTAACGGTTATCCAAGCATGCACTGTTCCAACCGGTGCTGCAAACAATCTGATCTAACAGAAGTGATGTACAATTGACACTTTTAAACACTGAATTAAACCCCCATTGACCACCTTGTGTTTGTTTAGGTGTTTAAACATTTATTTGACAACTTTGACAGCAAATTCAAACACTTTAAACACCTAAAGCTCACATTAACCTATTTAAAGGATTAGTTCACTTTTGAAAAACCTTTTGCTGATAAATTACTCACCCCCATGTCATCCAAGATGTCCATGTCTTTCTTTCCTCAGTCGAAAAGAAATTAAGGTTTTTGATGAAAACATTCCAGGATTTTTCTCCTTATAATGGACTTCAATGGGAACCAGGTCCAACCGAGGTCCAAACGACAGTTAATAACAGTTTCAGTGCAGCTTCAAATGTCTTTAAACGACACCAGACGATGAATAAGGGTCTTATCATGCGAAACGATCAGTTATTTCAAAACTTATTCCAAAAATGTAACTTTTCTAAGGACAAATGCTAGCCTTGTAATATATTGTGAGGCGCGTTTGCAACGTCACGTAATACGTAATTACGTTCAAAAGGTCACGGGCGACGTAGCCGGAAGTACAGAATCAAAATCGTCCGACATCGTTGTTTTACCTTTTAATTCCTTTTTTGTAAACGCCGTTTGAGTTAGTTTTCACGTTCAACCTATGCGTTCAACTTGTAAACACTCTGTCTCTGTACTTTCGGCTACGTCGCCCGTGACCTTTTGAACGTAATTACGTATTACGTGACGTCACAAACGCGCCTCACAGAATGGAGCAAGGCTAGCATTTGTCCTTAGAAAAGTTACATTTTTGGAATAAGCTTTGAAATAACCGATCGTTTCGCATGATAAGACCCTTATTCATCGTCTGATATCGTTTAAAGACATTTGAAGCTGCACTGAAACTGTTATTAACTGTCGTTTGGACCTCGGTTGGACCTGGTTCCCATGGAAGTCCATTATAAGGAGAAAAATTCTGGAATGTTTTCATCAAAAACCTTAATTTCTTTTCGACTGAGGAAAGAAAGACATGGACATCTTGGATGACATGGGGGTGAGTAAATTATCAGCAAAAGTTTTTTCAAAAGTGAACTAATCCTTTAAGACAGTATGAAAAGACTCACCATCCTGGAAGACACGCTCCACATTGAGGCCGTAGGTAGCACAGGTCTCGTAATACGTGCACCTCTTCAGGTCGTTGGACAGTTTGCGAGCGCGCGTGTCGTCGATGACACGGGGGTTAGCTGCACTGATTGCATCTGTGAATAGATAGGATGAGACCATTTTTTTTTTTAACCAACACTGGTGAAAAAAATTCATGTTTAAGAAAATCCTTTCATCAAATGTGAGAGGCTTCAAATGCATACATATACATAGTTGTGAACAATCTTCCATTGATTATAGTGTGGCACCCCCTAGTGATCATATACTGAAAACACAAGTAGTGTATAGGGCATAATTTTTGTCATCATTACTTACCCCAAACTTTTAAACACAAATATATATATATATATTTAAAATATTAAGTAGGACTTGAAAATATTTTCATCCAGCAATTAATTGGGGCAAAAAAACATGAATAAATTAATATTATAAAAGATTTCTATTTAATAAATGTTGTTTATAACCCTGAAAAATACTTACAACTAATAAGTAAGAAATGTGAGAAATTATCATGCGACACTGAAGACTAGAGTGATGGCTGATGAAATTCAGCTGTGCTATCACAGTGGCAATGTGCCCAACACCAAATTCGGAAAGGCACAGAAAATGAATATGGAGCTACTAGAGGGACACGATTAGGCTTACTGCAGTAATCGGATACATTACAGTACATCAGATTTCACTTGAAGATAGTAAGGTCAAATGGCTGACAAGACCATGTCGGAGGATTAGGTGAGCAACAGATCGTGAGTGTCATTGACAAATATCTGATCTTGTAAAATGTGTGGTCAGTGTCGCCGCTCACTATAAACAAAGTACACGAGATCACGAATTCAAAAGCAAAAGTAAGAAGCTACTGTGCATTTGTTTACTCACCCTCAAGTTGTTCCAAACCTCTATGTGTTTATTTGCTCTGCTGTACACAAAGGAAGAAATTTGGAAGAATGTTTTAAACAGATCTCAATCCCCATTGACTACCATTGTATGTATTTTTTCCTACTATGGAAAATGGGGTCAATGGGGATTGAGATCTGTTTGATTAAAACATTCTTCCAAATATCTTCCTTTGTGTTCAGCAGAACAAATAAACACATAGACGTTTGGAACAACTTGTGGGTGAGTAAATGACGAAAGAATTTTCATTTGTGGGTGAACTATCCCTTTAAAAGCAATTTACTAGTGGCTCCCTGATGCCCGCAAATTATATACAATATAATTACCCAACTATATAATTGTGGAACTATATAATCCGTAGAATACTTTAAATTATTTCTGAATTCGGCTTTGGTTACATCCCTACCTACATCACATGATACTATATTGTTTTAAAATATCTTAAAGGTGCAGTCCGTAACTTTTGGCGCTATAGCGGTTAATAAACAGAACTACATGCGTCTTGCGGGAGAACATTGTAGCCGGACTTACTTTTCTCTGTTTATGTCTATGACGAGACAGGCAGAATATAAAACACTTATTCTAGGTGTATTCTATTCTTTGTATGTACTTATTCTAGTGACTCAGGATAGGACAAAAACATAGAAAATGGATTCATGATTTACTCATTATAGAATATTTGTATTCTTTAAATTAAATGTTAAACACAAATGTATTTTTGATGTTTTTGATGTATTTTTGATTAAATACATGCTTGTCTTGGTGAGCATGAGTGACTTTCCCCCCTAAAAAACAAAAAACCTTAACTTTTGAGTGGTAGCATATCTATAAATTTTTTTTAAAAATAATCTAAAATGATAAACTCTTTCACTTCTAGTGTGCCTGCACTTACCCTGAGTTCCCACAAGCACCAGGGGCACCTCTGCTGTGTTGCGGAAGTTGGCCATGCGACTATAGTAGTGGTAGACAGTCTGAAAGCTGATCTCATCTTCCAGACTGAACACAAATATCACCGCATCCACCCACAATGCAAACTGAGAGAGAATGATTGAGAGAGTGGGAACAATTTAGAAAGTGAGAGAGAAATATTCTTCAAGTAACAGTTAAAAATAGGCAGCACTTATATTTCATCACAGAATCGTAGGCTGCGTCTCATTCCCTGCAATGTGATTATTGTGAATGTGAACATTTTGTACTAGCAAGGGCTTTGAACCACTACACATTGGGACACAGATGACTATATTACCTATGAAATTATCAAAAACCGTACATTAAATTACAGGAGGGTATTTATCAATTATCAACAACATTGCCATTATGCCAAATAAAAATATTAGATGGGAAAACGAATATTATAAATGTTGCCTTAGCAGTAAACTTAAGCATTACAATTATTAACAGGAAGCTGAAAAGCACATCATGACATAAACAATTTAAACTAAAATTAACATGAACACTAAACATATTAAAATGATAATTCACACAGTTTTATTTATTTTGCGGGTAGATGAAAAATATCATCTTACCCTTTAAGGACAGAAAATTAGGTTTTGTCAAATTGTCTTCATACTTTTTGAGAGACTTAACATTTCGGGTAAGTGAATCCATAGAGCAACCAATGCTCACAGGATTTATATGATTAAAAGTCTTCAGTGCACTTACTGAACTAGGAAGTGGATTGAGACGCAACATGAAATTCATATTTCACAGACCATGAGAAAACAGCAAAGTGACTTCCTGTTTACATTTTATGACTAACAGAAAATCAGTTGGTCTAAATAAACTTGATCAACCTCATGTAAACCATTTTACATCATGGTTTCCACTCAAACGGATCTGTAAATTTTAAATTAATCTATTGTTTTAGCTACGCCATCCACAGTTCAGGCACAACATTGTGAATCAGAACATCCGCTGTACTTCCTACCTGAGCCTCCGGAGGTCCCCCTTCATCCCGGATTAAGAGGAGGTAACTTTGTCCATCCACCACGATCTCCTTTTTAAAACGCCCTCCTGTCCAACAGAAGCAGCCAATCAATGCAAAGAGCCTGATGATGCGAATACATTTACTACTTCTAAAATGAGATGATTGGTGGACTGTTGATTGACATGGAAACGGAGAAGGGTGTGTGTATCTGGTTATTTTCTAATTACTTTATTGGGTAAATAATTTGATCTACAAATCAGCGTTAATATTCAAAAAGCGAGTACTGTAATCATGCGCTACACTGCTTTTTTGCATATTCTCTTCATTATAATTATATTATTCCTGTGAAAACCGCAAAGTTTTGGTATTCCTGTATATGATTCAATTTTTTATATTCATCCAGAAACACTCTTTTTTTTATTCCCAAAGAGCTGATTCTGTACAAGCTTGGCCAAATTATTGAATCAAAAACACACCGCATAGAACATACTCTGTCATGTTGTGCTTCACGCTCGTAAAATGAGCTTACTTGTGTACTGGTTGTTCATAGGACAGTGGCTGTTTCTCAAATCTAAGAATGTAAAGAACAGACTTGCGCTCTTGTGGAGACCGGTCTTGCCAGCCTACCTTGAAAGAACGAACTCTGGAGGACACGAGGACACAGAATGAATCTTTGTGAGGACTGAGATGTGCTGTGAACGGACTGTTTAGGATGTAATAGGCAGTACCATCCAATGCACAATAAATTAATCAGGACATCACAGATGGCATAACCTATTCAAATATTGAATTATTACTTGATAGCTTTTTGTTTTACATGAGTATGTGTAAATGAGTTTGAACTGTATATATTTATATATAATGGTTAGGCTTTATTAACCTCAAGATTCTTGTAAACATGCCAGCTAATAAGTACTGAAGACTTTCTACTGGTCTTTAGAACTTTATTGAAATTATGCCAATCAAAAAGACATGCGTTTATTTTCACAAGCTGTCACGTGTTTGCAATTTTTCAGAGGGAATCTCGAGTGAGAACGTTTGATTCTCTCAGGGTAGAACACATCCGGTTACTTCCCTGCATTCTCTGTAGTTGAGTGCAGGATGAGTACATCGACGGTCGATGACGTACGAGAACGTATATTGAGAAACGGCTAATGCGTAGACACACTTGTGAATTTTTACAGTAGTTTTTATTTTTTTTATTTTTTTATTTATTTATTTATTTTTGTTTAATACAGATATTAATTATATAGATAAAGCCCATTACTGGATTGCATTTATGCCACCTCTAAAGAGACATAAAAGTTAGTGTAAAAACACCTTCAAAATTGTTTAAATAGAAATTCTTAGAGAAATCATCTAAATTTAGAAACGAAATTGCTTTGTATTACCAAGTATTTCCTTAACAATGTTAAATATATATTAATTAAATCCCAGAATTGTATTCAGACATTCATTCAATAAAAATTATTGAAATAAATTTATTTAAAATTCAATTAACCAATTTCTTTTTATCACTAGTATTTTCCACCCAACAACTTGTGGTTAATTTTCCCCTCAGAAGAAAAAAATGTGGTTCATTAATGTAATATATTAACAATCCAAGTTTCTGTTAAGTTAATAAAAGAAAAAATTTGAAAAAAGCAGCTTTGTGGTCAATTCAGCAGAATATACCAGCGGAAAATATCACACTGTATCTTGAATGAGGAGCCTTTGAATATTGTCTTGGACAATGGACAATTGTGGTGGCCAACTAAAAAAAAAAAAAAGTTGAGAACCACTGGTCAAAACCTTATTAACATGAGTTTTTCCTCACAATATAATATGCAGCCTGTACAAACACCGTTGTGCCTGAAATGCATAGCTGAAGTTTTCTGCCCACAGGGTTCAGCCAAAAAAAAGTATTTGAACCCATGGAGTAAATTAGGTGTCAGCTAAAACAATTTGTTTTCAAACATCCAGTCTGACGAGAGAGAATGTTAAAGGTCAAAACGTCGCATCTGAGGTGAGACGGGGTCAGAGATCAGAGGACAGAGTGTGACAGAGTGTAAGGGGAAGAGTTGAGGGTGACTGTTGGTTGGTTTGCTAAAACATAATAGGATCAGAGGGGATTCCTGGAGATGTTAGAGGGTCTAACCTTAACCTTATCACAGCTCTACGTGGCTAATCGGCTTGTGTACCGAAGGCCTGAGAGAGCCTCACTCTCACTTCGTATCCAGGACATTCCATGGTCATCTGGAGATATGACCACTCGACTATTCTCTATTAAACTTTCACCCTTCACCTCGGACCTCCAATTGCATCACCACGATAACCAGCAAAGACCATCAATCATACACAGAGAGATTTGAGATGGACCATTAACTGGTTTACCCTTTTAAATATGTATACTATTTTACTTTAAAAAAAAATGCTGGGTTGTTTGAACCCAAATTTGGGTAAAACATGGACAAACCCAAATGTTGGGTTAAAAATGCAATTTTAAAAAATGTACAGTTGAAAGTGAATGTTTGAAAATTTGAAATTACATTTTTAACCCAACCTTTGGGTTTGTCCACATTTTACCCAAATTGCATTGTTGGAGTATATTTTTAATCAGGTCTAACGGGGAACAGTGGTGTTCTCAAGTAAAATAAATAATTTAAAAGCAGTAATGACGTCAAATTGTCAATAAATTTGTGATTTTATTTTAGACAAAAGTAATATGTTAAAGAAATGGTATATTTCTATTGTTCTTAGCCAGTGGTTCTCAATTTTTTATTCATGACTTCTTTAAACTCCGCTCAAAACATCTGGCACACTTTGAGAAACCCTGTTCTAAGCTAAGGATTATTCACTGGGTGGGGGTCACAGTAGGCTACAAGGGGAACATTTCAGAAGAAAGAAGTACTATACAAATACATTTTAATAATTATTTTAAATGTGTGTATATACTGTATGTACCAACCACATTATCTAGATAATATTTTTTTATAATTTATTCTGGCATCAAATGTATCAATTAGAGCCCGACCGATAAAGGATTTTGAAGGCCGATACGATACAAATATTTGGGGGGTTTAAAATCCGATATATCGGCCGATATTTTTTTGTTGTTAAATATTGTTGGATTTCACACACGTGTAAAAGAAAAGCTAACTTTTCTGCACAAGATACGCTTGATACTTTTTCTCTATGTCTAAATGTTCACTCCTCGTAAGTATTACCAACACTATCTCACGACCAATTCGTACGAATTCGACGCATGATTAAAAAGTGGCTAATTCGTACTAATTCGTACGACCTCACTCATACTAATACGTACGATTTGTCAAAACCCACGTGATGGTTAGGTTTAGGGGCGGGCTAAGGGGTAGGTCATTCGTACGAATTCATACGAATTGGCCAACTCGTAAAATATGTACGATTTAGCAAAATCGTATTAATTCGTACCAGTGAGGTCGTATGAATTGTTACGAATTAGCCACTTTTTAATCATTCGTCGAATTCGTACGACTTGGTCGTGAGATCGGGTTGGTATTACTTACATTTTACAATGCAGGTAACTAGACTGTAACTAGAGACATGCTAGTTATAAATACAGTAATCATTACTTTATTTGGGCAGAAAAAGTTCATTTTGGTTTCCAAGCTCATTAATGTTAACGTTCGTGGTCTTCCACTGATGATAGTGGCATTAGCTAGCTTTGTGGTAAGCTAGTCTATGATGAGCCACAATTTAACAATAGATAACATCATACTGCAAATTGTAAAACATAAATTTTCAATATAACAGGTCAAGGAGAGATGATTGAAGCACGTTTCGTCCGTTTTTATTTTATTTTTTAAATATTCATTTATCAGCCATTATAACCGCCGTTACCGATATTTTGGAAAATGCCTAATATCGGCTGATAATATCGGCCGGCCGATATATCGGTCTGGCAATGCAAATTATTTTTATTCTGAAACAAAATCTTGTCTTAATATCACACTATTTTACCACACACAGTATAAAAGAATGTGTTTTTTAGTAGGGGGTCTTGGCAATGAGATCATAGTTGGGGAAAAAAGTTTGAATAACTGCACCAAAAAAATAAATAAAACGATGTTAATGAAAATTATTATTAAGTATCAGTGCTGCATATCAGTAAATCAAGACAGCAGCAAATAATCATTATCTCTAAAAAAAGATAAAAGTTATTACACTAAAGAGAAAATAATCAAAATACAGTTATAGTCTCTGTTTCCATTTTCCCTCTGTCTATATAAATTATTTAAACTCTGCTCTTCTGGTGGGCAATAATATGAAAGCCAAAGTTCATGCGCTTTACAAAAGTCGGCAGGTTGAAAAAGAAGATTGGGTAAGTCTGTTTGTGTATGGCGGTACGGCTGGAGGAGACGGCAAGCTTTTCCGTAATGACACGTTTGCCTGTTTGTGCTATAAAGGAAGAGGAAGAGGACCAGCGTCAGGACAGCTAATACTCAGCATATAGTCTGGACCCAGTTATTTTTATATTTGTTGAAAATATAGAGCGAGAGAGAAGTGCACAGTGAGTGAAAGATACACACCCATCGGTTAATTACACTCTGGGTTCTTTCTTCATGGAGTTGACTTCAGTTGAGTAAAAACACGCTTGAGTTGCATAGCTCATCTTGACAAACTCGCGTGAAAAGAACAGTTTTTGACAGAACACACAGTGCAACAACAGTTTGACATCCAGTCTTGATGTACAGTGACCCATAACGCTTAGTGCAGTGGTGACATTGGTGGTTCATTAAGGAAATGAATGAAATGGAAGACGGCAAAACTACAGTGGCATCATGAGAGGAGTGGAATCTCCTGTTCTGTGGCTTGACCGCTTTAAAGCTTTGTGCCGAGTAAAGGGAGGCCGCGTGGAATCGATACATCTCTACTTCTAGACTTTAAATATGATGCAGATAGTTTGTGAGCAACACAATGCATCGAAATGGAAACATGACCAAGAATGTGCTGTTATACAAGCCACAGAGGGGAGAGTCCACCCGTTCAATTCTCTTGCACTAGAAAAGACCTTCCCCAAAAAGAACATATCAGACGTTGAAAAAGAGCAAATAGTTACCTGCGTCCACGTCAGCTAGGTAAAGAAGAGACCAAGGAAAGAGAGAATAAACTCAAATCAAAAAGCAGCCAAGCTAAACATGCACAGTCACAGTTAAGAAATTAAACACAGCAGGACAAAGAGAGAATGAAAGAGAGAGAGAGAGAGAGAGAGAGAGAGAGAAGCATAACTTTCATTCATTCATCACAATCTTATCTAATGTCAAGGGGCTGCTGTGAGTATGTGTGTATCTGAACAGATCAAACACGCCTGTCCTGAGGACACAGTCGGGTCAAAATAGCTGAAAGGGGCACATACTATCGCACACGCTCATGTAATGCATGCCAGCTGAGCATTGAGGTCAATGACGCAACTCGCAATCTATTAGTTCATTCAAAAATACATTACAATTCACTCATTCAAATATTTGTGTGATTGGAATCTGGTCTAAATGATTGAGTGTCCACAGTGTGTCGCAACTGTTCAGATCTGATGTGTGTCTTATTACTTTCCAGAATATCTGCATTGATTTATATGGAAATGACTTTGCGTTTGGTAGGTATACGCTAAAAACAACAACCGGAACATTGACGGGTTGCAATAAAGACGTTGTCTTATTTACAACATGACAGTGTGAAGCCGCTGCGTTGAAAGAAACGTTGGAGGCTTTATTTCGTGCTGTCGTCTCCATCGTTTTCCAAAAATGTCTTATTATATGTGTTATATTGCAATTTTATGCTCGTCCGGCATTTCTGCAGCTCATGTTTCCTATAAAAACGTCTGACGTTTACGTTTTACGTGTCATGAGACAGTCACATAATCCACGCGAAATCCGAACAGAGCAGTCAGACTGAAACGGATTTCCAGAAATGTGATTTGAATAGGATTTCAAACCACATATGAATGTAGTTTGAAAAGCATTTATTTTGTCCGTTCACACTTGATAAATCTGATTTGCACAAAAAAATCGGATTTGACTGACAGTGAACGTGGTGAAACCTAAGTTTCAGGATGATACAACTGTCCTGATATAATAAAGAAAAAAATATATAATTCTTGAATAAAATCATTTCTAGTTTAGCACAATCTTTTATTATTATTTCTTAGAGAAAAGCAGTGAAGCAGTTGTTGAAAAAAAAACCTTCTGTGTGCCAAATCAAAGTCATGTGGTGCAACCAACATGCAGGGGAAAAAACAAACAAACAAAACCAGAAATTAAATAATTGAGGACCCCCTATAGCCCTTCATGACTGTGTGACAAGCTCAGGAGGTCTCCTAAAAAATTACCTTTTTATTGCCTCAACAAAAAAAGTTGTCATTTGTGAAAATGTGATATTTATGAATTAATCATTAAAGATATTTATATACATTCAAGGTGTGAGGGAAATATTACTTTTTACTTAAAAGTTACGCAACATGGCATTTTTAGTTGAATTTAAACCTTTCTTGAAACGGTTCTAAGAACTTGGCACATGTGTTTTAAGCTAGATTCTTTAAATATTTGTATTTGCTACTGACCCATTTAACAAAATATAAAGCAAGCAGACTAGAAATAACTCAGGAAGGTGAACCATTTATCTAGATTTAATGGAATTAGGAAATTTGGAAAAGATCTAACGTCTAAATTTGATATTTTACATTGATATAAGTGTTGTTTTTTTCCCAAGCCAGAGGGACTGGTCTGCACAATTGCACCAAACTGCTGATCCCAGCCGAGCTGCATTTCTAAATCAAACATGATTGTGGCGGCATAAGCAAAAACTCCGTTATTTACCCATAAAGGGGTGCTGGGTTTTGAAATGGTAAAGGCTGGGTCTGTGTCGAGACCACAAAGCCTGTAGGGATTTTCTTCCTTCTTGTGTAAACATACACACACAGTCACACAATTGGCCTTGTGATAATATCTCTTAATGAGTTCTGAGAATGTGTCTATTCATGTAGTACGTGTGATAGAAGGGAGGGACAGAGCAAAACCCATGCGGCCGCCCGCTTTTCTTTGCAGAGTGCTCTGTAAAAATCTGCTCCAGCTCTATTTAGTGGTTTTGAGGTTGGGGTTACTCTACCAAAGCTAGGAAACACTATTTTTAAACCCAGAAGAGTGAAACTTCAAAAAAAGGAGAGTAGGAAAACATTTTAGGGGTTTTACTGGAATCTAAATTTGGAAATTCAAATCAGTTTTCTGTTGCGGAAATGTGACATAACGTACCTAAAAATTTGAGTTTAGCGGCACTTCTAGCAAAAGATGACGCGCCGGGATCAAACGTGAAAAATTCAACCTTGTCGCTTCAGCTTTACTAGGCACACACTTCAACGGTCTCTGATGTCGCGATGAGTTTCTTTTGGCACTCTGTCCTATAATCCACTACAGCAAACAGGCAATTGACATTTCTGAGGGTTTCTTCTTGCAGGGTGATTTCCTGGTTGACCGCTGGTATGCAGTGGCTTGAGTTTTATACGATGAAGTGCAAAGGAGAGGACGAGACATGATTAGTGCCTGTCGATCCACCAAATTTCCTCTCCTGTGACCTCATGCTCTCTACGAGACCCTCAGGCAGTTAAGCCCAACTGTACTAAATGCTGCTTAAACAAATTTCGATCTTTACAGAATTTTTTTAAATGAATACCTAAACTACAAACCCTTCTTTGTGAGGCAGCCATTTGAAAGGCCAGTTTAACATGACTACATAATAACGGTCATAAAGGACATGAAATATTGACACGAGGAGCTTTTGAAAGTAGATCCTCGCTCGGGGAAGAGAGCATATTGTGGTGGTCTGGCGGCGTGCCTTGAATGTTCTCAATTATACATTGGGAGTATGGCAGAGTCCTCATACTAACATACTAACAGCAGGTGTGCGGGGAGAGAGAGAATAAGAGAAGGAGAAAGCTGAAAGCAGAAATAAGAAGGGTCTCTAGCCTATGCCTCAGTACTACTGAAAAAAACGGTGGAATATTAACTATTTACACATAACTTTAAAACAGAATTGCACGTATGCCATAGTACAGTCTTTCAAAAGAATCAAAGGGGGTACTCTACACTTAATAATATCGCATTTTAAAATCTAAGAAGGTCACCGTATTTCACCATTTGAAGCTGCCTACCTTCAGGGCTTTCTTCCTGCACATAAGTCCCCGTCAGATACCGGTGGACCAGTGCAGACTTCCCACTGGCCAAGTTACCCACAATGCCCTGCACACAAACAAACACAGTATTATCAGGGGTCCCTTACTATGTGATATTTTGGCTTTTAAATAAACTGCCTCAGATATATACATAGTCCTAATCTTAATTCCATGTGTTGATTTCAGATGATTGTGGGACTAAACACAGTTATCATGGTTTTATAACCGTTGCTGAGTGTTGAGCATATAAATGTTTCTAAAAACAAATGTGGTTTGAATTTAATTAGAACTAATAGATTTTATTTTCATCCTTTTTGTTATATGAAGACCACATTAAAACTATCAAGCCTTTGTTACAATTGCTTCTCTTCAAATAACCTCTATACATTGAATTCTTTTATCCTTGAAATCTGAAACTATTATATATATATATATATATATATATATTAGGGCTGTGCAAAAGTTAATTGCGATTAATCGCATCCAAAATAAAAGTCTGTGTTTACATTATATATTTGTGTGTGCTGTATATAATTAATTTGTGTATATAAATACCATGCATGCATATATTTAAGAATTATTTGCGCTGAAATTCTGTATATATTTATAAATACATAATCTATATTATATAAATATAAATATTTTATATATGAATAACACATTTTCTTAAATATATGCATGCATGTGTGTGTATTTATATATACAAAATAATTATATACAGCACACACAAATATATTATGTAAACACAGACTTTTATTTTGGATGCGATTAATCGCAATTAATTTTTGCACAGCCCTAATATATATATATATATATTTATATATATATATATAAGGGCTGTGCAAAAATTAATTGCGATTAATCGCATCCAAAATAAAAGTCTGTGTGCTGTGTGTACATAATATATTTGTGAGTGCTGTATATAATTATTTTGTATATATAAATACACACACACATGCATGTATATATTTAAGAAAATGTGTTATTCATATATAAAATATTTATATTTATATAATATAGATTATGCATTTATATATATATATATATATACAGAATTTAAGCGCAAATAATTCTTAAATACATACATGCATGCATAGGTATTTATATACACAAAATAATTATATACAGCACACACAAATATATTATGTAAACACAGACTTTTATTTTGGATGCAATTAATCACAATTAATTTTTGCACAGCCCTATATATATATTAGTTGTGATTAATTGTGATTTTGGTTTCTTTTTATATAATATACACCAAATTAACACCACATCAAGCAGTACTTTGACCCTTACAATGTTATTGTACTTGTTTTCCAAGGATGAAATATGAGATGCTATGTTAAAAGAAAGTAAAATTGAGGTAAATAAGTAACTTAATATGGTTTTTACAAACAAGCTGTACTTTTTTTAATTATGCAAAATGCATTAAAATATTTTTTGTTGGACTTTTGGATTCATTAAATTATAATTATACGATTATACCTCAGCAAGACATGTCAGACATTTTATTTTAAAACTGGTACAATGTCATTTTTCACCCTCATAATTTTCCAGAATGTTATCAAGCAAGACATAATTTGAGATGTAGAGGAAATAACACTGAAGGGAATGCATTATATGTCTATACATATACATTATATGTCTATTATATGTGAAGTGAACCAACAAATAAACAGTGTAAAAAAAGTGCTTAAGTAAGTTTATTTTCTAAGAAACACTGAATTTGACCTGATAGAAGACGTTTTGAGGTGACGAGCATGCAACACTTAATATAACAATTAAATGATGCAAATAAAAGGCTCTTTTTTTAAAGGCAAACATTAAACATCAGTAACAGGACTCACCACTTTGAGCTCCGGTACTGCACGACTGAGCGTCCATTCCTGACTGTTAACAAAAGCATCTGAAACAGAAAAAGAGAGAGATTATCAAAAATGTGGTCATGCACTTCAGTTCAAGAAGGCGTGCGGCTCACTGATCAATATAAAAGGCAGATGAAAAGCACAGTCAAACAGACCAAAGTGGAACAAAATCCTCTCCATTGACACTTAACCAAAACGAACATACAGTACTACTCTACAACTACACTACAGAACAAAACATGTTTGTGTTTATTTTAGGTCTTTTTATTTTTCAGCAGAGTGAATATCCAATGTGTTAATTAGAGGCCATGATGCCTTCACGGCCCCCACGCTCAGCTGCACGACATGTTTCACATTACAACAGAACAATAGTGGCTGCAGGTGCACAGTGGGCTCAAACGCTCAGAGGACATCTAAGACACCAGCAAATAAGCCTGCAAATCCAACTTCCACAGTTTCACAGACGAGGCTTAAGCCTATTCCTAGACTAAAATGCAGGTTTGAGCTGTGTTAACTGAAAGATACTTGCACTAGCATATCTTAAAATATGTCAGTGCCATAGTTTTGCCATAAGATACACAACAGTAAAGTGTGTTTTTTTTTAAAGCACATTTATAAAGCCACTTAAATGTCCTAATTAAACTAATGCCTAATCCTGGCTTAATATAAAATATAATCCCTGTCTTTGAAACGAGGCACAAAAGTGTTGTGGAAAATGATGTATGGAGAGATTCAGGTCATGCTTTATTACAAAAAAAAAAAAAAAAAAAAAAAAAAACAGATAAATAATGCTAGGTCAGTTTTGCTTTCTCTAAAGCACCCAAATAATGTTTTGATTTTCTAAAGCATGTTTATAAAAGCTCATTGAATCACTGATTCTCTCGATTCGGTCAAAGCCACAGGTTGATTTACTAATGAAAAACATGTATTTATTTTCCTTTTTGAAATACACGCTCATTTTTTGTTATTTTAAGGTGGGGTAGAGGGTAAAAATAAATAAATAAATAAAAACATACCCACTCTGTCGCCTCACGTACCACACGTATCAACCAGAGGGTCGGGGTTCACTAGAGGCATCAGAAAACCTCAACATGACTGAAATTATTTTAAAAACAAGCTTTAGAATAAGCTAAAATAACCAAACAACCAGGATTCCCACAGCCTTGAAGAAAAAAAAAATTATATATATAAATATATATTATGTATGGGGAAGTTATGGGGAAGCCAAAAAGTGAGATTTCTAGATTAAAAAGTTGAGAAAACCACTGCCGTGTAATTAGCATGTTGCCATGCTAACAATGTGATTAACATAAACAAAGAGCACACAAATGCTAGAAGTGGCTGCACCATAGCAACACTTGAGTATTCAATGAAATAAGCATATTCACAAATCATTTGTCTAAACCTGTCCACCATATTGGATGAATTTGAGCCTTGTCCTCAAAAGGATACATGTAACACTGCCTTGCTTGTTGTCCAAACAACACAACTTACTTTTAGAAAAAGTTTTCACATTGAGTGTATGCATATAATGTCTTAAAATGTTGTCTAGCTGGGCAGCTCACTAGATTTTTTCATTGTTCTTCATGTTTCTATCTTCAATGGGTGCTATGCTGCCATCATCTATTCACTGATGTCAGACAACAACAGTCTATAATTTCTCAAGAGACCCATACTAAAAACACACTAATGCTAACATATATGCATAACCCTTGGGGATTGTCTCTATTGGCACTTTTTGATAAGCTAGCAGATGAAGTATAGAAGGAAACCAAGACCCTTTGGGGGGGGGGGGGGTTGCTTCATATATTCCGCTGGGTGACCCACAAAAGGCCAGTGTCAAAAATCTGAGAAAGGTTAACACAATCTGCTAGCCACAACTGACTGGGTGTTAAAGACAAAATAAGGACGGATTGTACATTTGATGTTCCAATCACATATTATTCATATTGTTTTTATAAGATTGGACTTATTTGATTTATTTCCTCTAATGGGCATGCGTTGCACAGATGGAACCAATCAACACAGCGGTATGACAGCTGTGTCTACGATACTGAGACTCATTCAAAACGACAATCCGTAACATCACAGGAGACGTGATGGGAGTGACAGACCGATGATGATCCATTACAGCCAAAGCCCTTGTCATCCCCGTGTCACCTCTTCAATTTAAATAGACTTGCTAGATGATGGTTTCATTGTGGAAGTCAAAAGCATGGTTATTTAGAAAGCGTAGAGCAGCCTCGATAATAACAATAACAAAAGACATTGCTAGAGCTTTTAAAGAAAATCATTATGTATATTTTTTAGTATATTTTGAGCTATTTGAGTTGCCGTAGTTTGCTGTAGTTCTCAAGAAATGGGTAATGAGCGCTGGAGGTAACAAAACCCCTGTGTGTAGACAAATATTACAGTAAACAACACAAAGAACAACATTCCATCTGATATAACACACGACGACTCAACAAACCAATCTGTGGAAATCACAGATTCGGACAGGATCAAAAAATGCGCATGAAAGTGTCCATCCAGTCCAGATGCAAGTTAACCTTGCAAATTTGGATATTATATGCATATGGTAGCAAGCTAGGGAGGGTGGGGGTTGGGGGAGATGAAAGGACAAATAAATAAATAGACAGCAAGCAAGCCTCTTGACAGATGTGCAACATCGCAGCTCCCCTTTGGATTGATTGCTTTTCAAATTAAATGACGTAAGAATTAATACAAGGTAAGACCTGTTTGTTGTGAGTGATGAATATGCGTAGATGAGTCGACATTGTCGACAATAAAAAAATTACGACAAATATTGTCGTTCTCCAGTAGTCGTTTGATCTCACTTGACCTAATGTAAGGGCGTGCAATATCGCAGTTTGACCACTATGGTGCTGTGGCGCTAGAGTGTAATGCAGGTCTTTACAAATGCTATTGCGGTAAAAGAAAAAAACAGCGCAAATTGTGACGGAGTGCAAACGAATCCGAACTAGCAAGGTTTGGGAAAGTTTCACAAGACTTAACCAACAATGCTGTCATGTGCAATACATGCAAGGCGGAACTTGCTTAAAGAGGAGCCGGTGAGAATTGAGTGTTATCCAGCTGGAGCTAACTAACTAGCGGTAAATCTCTATATTTGAGAATGCAATTCTACTAATAATAGTAATAATATTATCAATAATGATATAATTACAGTAAGCTTGATCGATCTTAGGAGTCAGGGCTGTTTTTATTACTGTAACACTATTAGGTATTATAGTCTTATCACTTGCCTGTATTTTGTTGCATAATCATAAAGACTTACAAAAGGAGATGTTAGGAAGAATAGCATGGCAACTACTTTCTTTTTCATACTGTAAATTAAAAGTTGAATGAGAACGTCTCGGTCAGCTCAATTGTCATTTAAAAAAAAGATTGTAATTTTATATTAATAATAATGGTTTGCAGATTGATATTTTACCATTCTTTGTGTCCTGAAGTAAATGACATAAGTTCTAAAAAAAAAAAAAGCAGTGGGCCTATTAAACAATGCTTAGAGAGGATTTGTATGTGATTAGAGTTGGACTGAAATCTGAAAACTTAAAGAGAATGACCTGTTTAGTTGGCTCTAAGTGAATTAAAACAACTATTTCAAAAGCCGAACTGATTTTCTTTTTTTATATTATGGTAAGATTATGCATAACACTATTTTTTTAATTAATTGAAAAAGCTGAATAATCGTTCCCAACTCACTGATTAGCCGGCAAAATAATTGACGATTAGTCGATTAATCGTTCTAATAATCGTTAGATTAATCGATTATCAAAATAATCGTTTGTTGCAGCCCTAGTCATACGCAATGAATTGTGATATTTGCAGCTGCAGCACATAGACAGGAATGAGCGAATAGTAAAATGTAGTGTTTCATGCTGTCCTGTGGGGTAATAAAAAGAGAAGGTAATTGGGAACGCCATACCAAAATGACTTGGTGGTTCATTATTGATTGAAGTTTTATTTGCCATTTGTACCTGTACATAGGGATTTTTGTAGACATTAAACAATACATAAAACTATACAATAAATAGAAATTAAGGTACTGTTAAAAAAAGTATTTTTTGTTGTTGTAGCAAAAGTAGCTCTAGTAGCAGACGCGAGTTTCCATCTCTTCTGCATTTGATTGTGTAGTAAGCACAGTTACGTTACAGTTAGCAAAACACCAATCACATCTTCAAGTTTATGAAAGTCATAAAAATCAAGAAACAGCCAAGGTATTCCAGCAGGTGGGCTAATGAAGAGGTGTCTGTGTGCCCTGTGGGAGGCTCATGTGTCTTTAATGCTCTTATGTATTTGTTTATGTGTGTATGTAGGGTGAGTCTCATTTCACTCAACGTTGATTCTTTGCAGTCAGTTTCCCATGACCTGCCTGGACCCCCCACCCCCTCGCTGTGAGCTGACCGATTACAGAAGCGGACTTCCACCACCCACTCTGTGTGTTGGGCAGCAAATGACCATGTGAATAATGGGATAAAAAGACGTTTACTGGAAGTCCATCAATTTACAATAATTCTGCATAATGTCGTCAGGGTTGCTGTCCTGGAGTCTTTGACGGCCTGACCCAGATCAGGTCCTTTTATATAGCTCAGCTTTCCTCCTTTCACCCACACTTCATAAACGTGCAGCTTTAAGAGTGCATGCTGTATCATTAAAATCCCACACAGCCAATGTAAGCATCCTGAGGGGACTTGGAGAACTAGGCCAGAGCAGCCCAACATCGACAGCATGAGGCTCCATCAAAGATTCAATTAGGATTTATGAAAGCGGAACTAACACACAAAGCCCAATAATGAATGTGTCGGGACTCGGGTAGCGTGCAACAATTAGCCATTTCACAGCACTCAAAGGCGCACTTGGCGCAAGTCACAACTCCCAAGGACATCCATCATCATTCAGTCATGGGGTAATTCTCTCATGAAGCTGCATTTCCGAACAGTGAGAGTATGTAATTTCTCTGGTATGAGATCCAAATTGCTTGGTTATATCTGGTCTCATCTATATTCATCTGGAGCCAGAA